TCCGGCTTTGCTGCCGTCCCACCGGCTGCGTGTTCCCCTCGCTCCGTCCCTGCCGCCTGCCTCTGACCACATCTGTGCTGCAGAATCTCCTGGACATGATGGTCGCAGAGGAGGAGAGCCTGAAGGAGCGTCTCTTGAAGAGCATCGCCATGTGTCGGAAGGAGCTTGACCTCCTCTGCAGGGAGCTCCAGCTGGACCCCTTTGAGGTACGGTATTGCGTTTCACTCCTAGGATCCTGGTGGCAACAGTCTCCTGTTGCCTGGCCTCTGCCTGGGTGTCCTGGTGAGGACAGAGCTCGCAAGGCAAACACCGCTCATCCTGACGCTTGGTAGAGCCAAAGGCTTTGTGGCCCTTCACGGATCAGGCGCTGGGAGATGGTTGGGAGGAGGCCAGGTGTCTTACAGCGTCTTGTTTGGTGTGTTGCTGCTGCATTTGCACCTTCCTGGGGAGCATCTTGCTCGGAACTAGGGCTTGTGTCTTAGGTCTTAGTTTCAGAAGCCTAAATACATGAGTCGGGTCTGTGAGAGCTGTGGAGAAAAGAGCTGGTTTCTGGACTCTTCTAGGCAGAGGAAGAAAGTACCATTCTGCAGATGGAGAAGAATTTGCGCACTCGTGTGGAAGTGCTGTTAAAGCAGAAAAAAGACAGGAAGCAGGAGCTGAAAACCCTGCAAGAACAAGACCAAGACTTGTGTGACATCCTCTGCACAACCCCGTTCTGCATTGACAGCGATGCCGTGCCCAGCCTGGAAGACCTGGATCGCTACAGGCGCCACTTGGCCTCCCTGACCGCCGAGAAGGTAAGCGGAGAGGGGCTGAGGATCTCGCCGAGGGTGGCACACGAGGTGCTTGCTGGTTGCTAATGCTGCTCGTCACCTCCAGGAGCAAAGGCGAGAAAAGTTTGTCAGCAGCAAGAGGCAAATCATCCTCCTCATGGAGGAACTGGACCACACTCCAGACACAAGCTTTGAGCGGGACGTGGTGTGCGAGGACGAGGAAGCCTTCTGCTTGTCCACGGACAACATCGCTGCCCTCCAGAATCTGCTGCAGCAGGTACGTTGGCACACTGAGGCAGCGCTGCTTGCTGCAGCGAGTGTTGGTGGGTCCTGGTGGCAGCTGGCATCGCGGCGTAAAGAGTGACTGCCCAGTTTTCAGTGGGCCTGTGTGCTAGAACATCCTTTCGGGAGCTTTTGCAAAGAGATCTTGGAAGACAAGGAGTGCCTTTGCGAGGAGCGGCAGAGCAGACGGCCGGCTCGCGCCCTTCGGGGCCGGGCTGCGCTGGCGCTGACCCTGCGCTCTCCCTCCTGCAGCTGGAAGCCCAGCGGTCCCTGAACGAAGCTGTGTGCACAGAGCTGCGCTCCAGGATCATTGCGCTTTGGGAAAGGCTGCAGGTTCCTGTGGAGGAGAGAGAGTCTTCTGCGGTGCACATGACTGGGTCCAGAGCCAAAACCATGAAAGCTGTAAGGACCCTCCTGTGCCCTGGAGGGGGGAGGGCTGGGGAGCAGCAGCTCTGGGTTTCACGCTCCTGTTTGTTTAGCCGGAGCGAAGGAGCCGCTTCCGGTGGTCAGGAGCGGGGTGAGCGTCTATTTCCGCATATCAAGCGGGCCAGATCCTGCCCTCATGGGTGGAGGAGCTGGGAGTTGGTGCTGGCAACTGCCTCATCTTAGAAAGTGGCTTATGTGGAAGATAAATCCTGTTCTGCTCTTCTTCTCATGCTGCCTTCTCTGAGTCTGTGTTCTGATCTTGTTGGCAGCTGCAGTTGGAAGTGGATCAGCTGGAGGAGCTGAAGCTGCAGAACATGAAATCTGTGATTCAGGCAATCCGGGCAGAGCTGGCTGACTACTGGGACAAATGCTTCTACAGTCAGGAGCAGAGGGAAGGCTTCAGCCCCTATTATGATGGTGGGTACTGGCTTTCCCTGCTCATTGACTCCCCGTGGGAGCTGCAGGCTGCCCTCAGCAGGCAGAGGCGTGGGGATCCCAGTTGCCTCCTGAAAGTGCTGTTCTGTCATCTCCAGAGGACTATACAGAGACCCTGCTTGAGCTCCACGATGCTGAGGTGGGGAAGATGAAGAGCTACTATGAAACACACAAAGATCTGTTTGAGGCCGTCCAGAAATGGGAGGAGAACTGGAAGCTCTTTCTGGAGCTGGAGGTATTGCCTGGGCAGGAATGTGCTCTGCCTGGCACAGTGGGTCGGTGAGGGGATGGGGTGCTGGAATCTGGAGCACTGGTATGGTTTGTGATGGGGGCTGTGCAGCAGGGATGACTTTATTCAGAGTCTATGTCCTGTGGAGTGTATTTTGGGCTGTGAGACTGGGCAGCACGTTTGATTCTCTCCTGATCTCCCTTCTGTACTAGAGAAAAGCAACTGATCCCAGTCGCTTTGCCAACCGTGGGGGCAATCTGCTGAAAGAAGAGAAGCAGCGAGCAAAGCTGCAGAAGACGCTTTCTAAGGTAGGTTCAGCCCTGGAGAAGAAGTGGTAGTCCCAAACAGCCCTCCGTAGTGCTGACAGAGGAGAAGTGCAGCACTTTGAGCCAGCGAGGCGTGTCCTTGGGCATGGAGATGCCCGCGGCCTCTCTACACTGCCCTTGTGTCCTGATCAGCTGCAGGAGGAGCTGGAGAGCAGGGTCCAGGCCTGGGAGCAGCAGCACGAGGGGTCCTTTCTGGTGAAGGGGCAGCAGTTCATGGAGTATGTGACGGAGCAGTGGCAGCTGTACCGCCTGGAGAAAGAGAAGGAGAAACAGGAGCGGGTGAGTGCGAAGCTGAGTGTGCTGCTTCCGGGCAGGGGCACAGCCGCAGCCGCTGCCCAGGGTGCTCTGTCTTCTCGCTGCCTGGAAGCGGCTCTGCACGCAGTCACCTGTTTGGCAGTGGGACTGGTGTCCATTGCTGGCTGTCTGCGTTGAGCCCTTTTCTTGGCCCCAGCTGTGCCAGAACCGCAGCTTGGCTCTGGATACCTGTAAATCCCTGGGGAAACGCCTGCTGCTTAGCCGTGCCACAGACTGTCCGTAGGGCATTGCCCTTCCCCAGGAGCGAGTGGCACGCAGGCGCTCGGCCGGCTCCGCGCGGGTTTGTAAGTGCAGATCTCTCGCACAGCACCTGAAGAAAAGCCGCCAGATCGAGACGGAGATGATGTACGGAAGCACCCCACGGACACCCATCAAGCGTCGGGTGCTCGGCTCCCAGACGCCCAGCAAAGTAAGGAAGGTGAGCTGTGCGAAGCAGCATAGATGTGCGTGACTGGGACCCTGGCAGGAGCTGAGCTCTGGCACTGGGCTGGAGCTGTGCCTTGTTTTGGGCCAGCCTCAGTGCCACACGGAGATGCAGGGAGGGTCTGGGGTGCTGTGGCAGCGTAAC